ACTTCTACACAAATGCAGCAAAGGTTTTAAATTAGACCTTTTAGAGGCTTATGAAATTAATAAATATAAAAAGAAAAAATACACCCTCCTTAACGATCAAATAGATCTTAATTTTACACCTCTATTTAAATGTTTAAATGATTTTTGAAACGGCGAATTGTTGAATTTAATTTTCCTTTCTTCTCAAACCCGTTTTTTTAAAAACGCATTCCACAACTTGTATTATTGTATTGAGTCCTTGATTTGTGTTTCATGTCTCATGTCAAGTGTTGTCCTTTTCGTGAAAATAATTTTAAATTGTTAGTTACGTGTGAAAACATTTTATCTATAATGACCAAACAGATGTTTCCAATTTTAATTTAGTTTTTATTTTTGATTGTAAGTTTGTAAAAAAATTATATTTTATAAGATTTTATATTGTTTTATATATAGTTTTAATTATTCTCATTCATACAGGATTTTTTGTAATTCAATTGTTTTGTAGATTCGGCTGATGATGACCTAATATAGCGTCGAAACCGGTACCGAGGAAATTTAAAAATAAACGCGAGAAACTGAAGTTAAAACACATTATTGTTTTATTATATCTTATGTTTTTGGAAAAATTTTAGAGAGACAAAAAAGTTTTAGGATACTTTCATCTACCTATGAAAAATTTTTCTAATGTATTTATCATCTGTATAAAAAAAATGTTAGCAAAAATGTAAAAGGGGTGGTTACGTTTAGTAGTTTAGAAGGGTAGGTTGAAAGTGCAAATAGGGTCAAAACGTGCCCTATTATGAGTTAAACATAGTCCCCAAATTTCATTTTCCTAGCGTTTATAGTTTTTGAGAAAAAAAAATTAAACCAAAATTTTCCACCGTTTTTGGAGGGGTGTAGCTCCTTAGGAGAGCCGAAGTCGCCCATGGTTCATATATTAAAGTACCCTTAAAATTGCCTAAAGAATCACCCATGAAGTTTGGGCATGTCATTCAGATACACCCTGTATATCCGTTTTACGTTCAAAAATGTGTTCAAAAACACACTGTATGATGAATTTAACATTTTTAACATCAAATAAGGTTATCACTCGAAAAAAGATGGCGGTGAAAAGAAGCTTTGTACGCAAAATATTCGATGTCAATCCGAAAATCATCTTTTATAAACGATTTTACTTGATCATAAATTGTCACCAATTTATATTAACTTAAAATGTATTATATAATATAAATTATTTAATGAATATACATATGTAATTATTATTTGTTTTTGGAGCAAATCCAAATCGAAAGGATTAGTGGTTAGAGATTGTACAGGGACTAAAGGCGTGTCCGCTTGTCGCCGTGGATGGCGCAACACACCACCATAGGGATGTTAGAGGGTGCAACGGCGTAGGTATGTCTAATAAAGTTGCTGGTTGACGTATGTAACGTGGAACATTCGACATGACAACTGAGAGAACGTACACACACGCATCTGTGTATTCTGAGTCGAGGCGACTGCCACCAGTGGCAGGTTTATCGGCGCTGTTTCTGTCAGTTACGTCTTCGCAATCGCCGGGGATTCGCAAATATCGATTAATACAAATATTACATCGCCAAAAATAATACAACACTATTTCCGATTTCTTCTTTGAAAGGCACATCATAAATAAAGAAAAGAGATGAAAAAGAATCGTTTTACGTTGGCAATAAAAACCGTCTCTTTTATCGTCATGTCTAGTTCGCGGGGGGCTTCTGTGATGTTTTATTTTCGGGCGCAGTCTGTCTCCGACAACAAAGGTTGGAGATTCTGAAATATCCTGGACTTTATACGCCATATGAATACGACATTATTAATTTATTGTCAGCCCACTATTTTAGGGATTTCCAAAATTTACAATATACGATCGGAGCGCCAAACGGGTCCGCAAACGTTGAGTTTAATTGATATTGTTCGGTAAGTGATCTTAAATTAGTTAGTTCGATATAATTAGTAAAGGGTGTGACAGGGAGCGCGAATCGATTCGACCCAACTGTTCGTCGAATTTCCCCCACAACCGAGACCTCTGGACCCCTCGTTTTCTATTGCGGCGTCGGCAGGGGCGGCAGTACACCCACATCTATTGCGTTCCGACGACATCTCGTCGTATTGTTCTCCGTAATTACCTGCGAAAACTTATTAGAATGTGCCGTTTGTACCGTTGTGTTGCTCTACTGTCTGAACCGACGGACTCGAAAATGAGACGTGTCTTGGTTAAACTCTAATATACATACTACATTCAACTACAACACAATTTTATTGTTGGCGTTTAATAACAAAGAATGTTTATCATGCAAAAAGCTATTTTCCATCTACACTCATTTTCGAGTTATAACTGAATGTTAAAAACGTCCAATTTGAATGATAATATAAAAGAGATTATAGGAGGTGTTTTTCCGATTAATTTAGGATGTTTTTTGTATAAAAAGTTTTTCGCTATAAATTTTAGTTCATTTGATTGATTTAAATAAAAACTTAAAACTAAAACGTCAAATTTAACAATTTTAACTTTATCGCTTTATACGTTGATAACAATCACTGATAAAAAGTTAATGTAGTTTATATTGGAGCAAAGCTCTTTGGGGGAGGCATCAGAGCTTATCTTAGGGGTTGTCATTTTATCAAGACGAGTAACAACATACATGTTGTGTCTTCTAGCATATTATTACACGTCACGCACGGAAATACACGGAATTCTTGCGGGACGAGATTCGAGCATGTCTTGTTTCATGTCAGAAACGGCGCTTCGTCGGTGATACAACTTACTAGGCTGTCGCTACATCTAATATACAGAACATTTTAATTAATTGATACAAAGAAAATCAAAATTCTTAGGTATATAGACCGTGACGTGATGTGAGTTTTTAAATTAGTTAGTCACCTTTTACAGGTGGAAATGAAATTAATGAGTTGAGTTGAAAATAAATCACGTTTGAATTTATAGTCGTCGCTGAAACCGGCTTCGCAAACCATTAACTATCGGTAACAAAGCGTTTTCTGCGCTCCGTCCGTTAATCGCCGATCGCACAAACGGGGCTCGAATTCTACGCTCGCGCTCTGGGTAGGATGTATTTATAACGCGATAGTTTCTGGGGGACCACGCCGCTTCAGCGAATTGTTAATAACCCCACGGGGAGTGAAGAGATATCGCCCTCCGATGGTAATTACAACGCGGTCGGTGTAATCGATTTCATGTCGAAACCCTCTTAGTACGATAGAAATACACTTTACCTTATAGCAACTAAAATAAACTTTATTTAATCTTTATAATAAAATAATTTGATATAATCAAAGAATTTCTCACGTAGTGCGTGTTTTAAGACGGCCAAACCCGAGTGTTTCTAGTTCTACGTCTAGGGTTAGTTCTCATCTTTACACCAACAGCATGAAATATTCACTGACCTCCTCTAATGCTTGTCTTGTAATACGGTAACCATAAGAGTAAAGAAGTCAATGTGTTAATCTTGGCTTAATAAAAAAGTCACTTTGAGCTTATGTGTTCAATGAATTTTGAGAACACAACTTCTTTATGTTTAAAAATAAATGTATTTCTCTCAGTGTAAGTAAAACTTTATAAAATATGTACTACACAAAATGCGCAAAAATAATTTTCTAGTGCCTCCAAAAGTGGCTTGCTTAAGTAGTTGAAAAGAAAATGATATGCAGATGGGAGATAACACGATAGTGAAAGCTTGTTAAAGTGTGATTGCGCACCATCTTGTTGGAATGACTGCCATTGAAATTCAGGTGGGAAAAAATCTAAACATCTCCCTCCATAAAGGAATATAGATGTAAAGATGAAAAAAGTATTCCTCATATAGGTCTAACAATTTTGATTTTTTAAGGTTTTTAATAATATTTATATCCATTTTATTAGGTTTATGTTTATACTTTTCAAGGTGTTTATGAAAGGCGGAGGTGTTTCTTGTAATATACTCTTTGTATCTTGTAGTAATATTTCTTCCTGTTTGTCCTATATAAAATTTCTCGCAGTCGTTACATTTTAATCTATAAATACCACTCATTTCGTTCTTTTCAAATTTGTGTTTGTTATTATGAGCATTTGACTCATGTTACTGTTGTTTGTGAAGGCAACATTAATGTTATGCTTGAATAGGATTTCTTTAAATTTGTATTGTAGACTAGGTTGATAAGGTAATTTTAAATAAGTTAGTTTTTGTTTACATCTAGGGAAAATTAAGTTGTTTATATTATTTCTATGGAAACCGTTGTAGAAGGTCTGAATATCTTTTATATCATATCCATTTTTAAGTCCAATTTCTGTTATCAGAATCAATTCATTGGTGAAGTCTCTATTGCTAAGTGGAATGTGTGTGGCTCTATGGAAGAAGAATCGAAATGCTGCAGTTTTATGGCTTATGCAATTGAAAGACTTTTTAGGTATCACACTGTCGGTAGCAGTTGGCTTTCTATATATATTGAAATCCAATGATTTTTGATTGTCTGTGCTTGCAACTGGTCGAGAAAATGGTTTCATCATATTTGAGTGTAGTCGAAATGCCTCATCGCCTACAAAGACATGAGGCAAAACAATGTCCGAATTTGGTAGTTTACATGGAGGGGGAAACATGTTACCAGTCCGAAATTGTTTCCCAATATTACTTTTATCAAAAATTCCACTATCGCCTTCTTTTCCATAAGACCCGACGTCAATAAATATAAATTTATAATTTGCGTCAACAACAGCAAGTAAAACTATGGAATAAAAATGTTTATAATTGAAGTACAATGAACCACTATGTGAGGGAGCAAAGATTCGTACATGTTTCCCATCGATAGCTCCAACACAATTGGGAAATTGCCACTTTTCTGTAAATTCCTTGGATTTTATCTTGAGTTCGTCTGGTGATAGTGGAGGTAAAAAAATAGGTAATAATTTTTTCCGTAAAACTGATAGAACATTTTTCACAATTCGGCTGATGTAGCTAGGAGATATTCTAAAGGCAAAACCCAATGATTTAAATGATTCGCCGGTTGCTATATATCTGAAAACAAAAAACATAAACCATATATCGTTGGTGTTGTGGCAAAGTCGCTAAGTGTAAACGGTAGTTTTAAGTAAATCAGTAGAACATATCGATTTAGCATATTAGAAGTTTGGCGCCATTTTCTAAACATTGCAACATAAGAGTTTAGTAGATTTTGCTAGAACGTCGATTAAATGAGCTTTTTACTCACTAACTTCTATTGCAGTAAAGGATTGTAAATACAGATGGCGAAACATCAAAGACACATATCAAAAAAGACTTAAAAAGGGAAAAGGAACTGGATCGTCTGCAACGTCCAAAGGTAAGAAGTGGCCCTTAGCAGACATGTTGACATTTCTAAATAAAGTGGATCACAAACGAGAGTAAGTTATTCTATGATAAAGCATCCACTAGTTGAAAATTTAAATCTATTTCGTAGAAGCATATCAAACCTTCAATGTGATAACACAGTTATTGAAGACGATAACGCCAGCACTGGGGACGAATGCTTAGAAACAGGTACATGTAATGCTGGAGATGATTCTTCAATCGGTAATCCGATCGAACATTCTCTCCAACCTTTGCTCAAACGGCCGAGAAAAAGAGACAAAATTGTTGAGTTAATGGAAGCAAGACGGAATGAACGTGAACAAATTATTAAAACATTAACTCAGAACAAAGAGGATGAGATTGACGTCTTCTTCAGAAGCATTGCAATGTCCGTTAAAAAATTGAAACCGGAACTTATTAATGAAGCAAAAATGCGATCATTACAGTTGATTTTTGAATTGGAACAACGCAATGAATACCTCATAAATTCTCAGATACCTTCCACATCAACTATTTATTCTTCATCGACACCGACGCTGTCAAGTTTGGGTGGAGATTCAGTCGATTACAATTTATTATAAAAAAAGAAAACAGAAATAAATTTGTTCTAGCAACAATAATTTCAGACTAGTTGTAAATACTGGTTGTAAATAACGCAAAAGAGTCATGCTATGGTGCATCTTGGCACCATAGCATCACTCTTTTGACGGATTTCAGGCCGTTCCCAACCGGTCAAAATACTTGTTAGAACAAAGAAATAGTTGTAATAAAGAGTGATATATTATTTTTGTATACCTATTTTGCACACTCTATTTACTGGAATATTTTGTTATTCCCGTTACTTTCCCATTTTTATTTATTTTAAAAGAAATAATACATATCTTTTTTGTTATATCAACAGTGCAGTTTTATTCTACAGTCAACATACTTACCTTAGAGTTACGGCAAGTTTTTCGTCGGGAGTTATAGGGTACATATATTTGTTTGACGAATTCTTTTTTATATCTTCTTTAATTAAGTCCAAAACATAATTAAATTGAAGAATGTTTAGTCTAAAAAACGCCCGGAATTTCTGATCATCTACCAACAGATGCCGATTTACAAGTGTTGTAAAGAATCCTTCCTCGCGTCTTCTTTTAAAAATGGGATGTGTGCCCGTATTTTTAGAGTCTGCTAAATGTTGCAGAAGAATTTCTTCGTCTTCATTTTCTTCTAACATTAAATGTAACAACAAATTTTGTTCAGACATTGCAAACAACGTGTGCTTCGTTTCCGTTGATCGCGCGCGACTGAACGCATCATAGAAATTAACAACTATGCGTCAATCGCAAACAGTTTAACGCACTGCGATCGCCGCTTGCGTCAGACGCACCATAGGAATCCCACCTTTAGGGTTCAAGCTGAAATAATGTTTTTGTCTTTGCCAAACTTATGTTAGTAACCTAGAGCGCTGAAAGTAAACAGCAGAACAACGTTGCTAATACCGACATTTCAGTCAACAATTTTCGTCGTTTCAGTCAACAATTCGCGTAAGTTCAAGTGAGTTAAATGATATTAATAAAGGTAAAAGAAGAAAAATAGACATTACAAACAGGCAGGATTTCAAAAGGAAGATGTTAAAAGATGCAGGAAAACCCTACATAAGTCGAAGGGGAAAACCAGTGAGCGGTAAACCGGGACCAAGTCATGTTGGTTGGAACAACGTGCTTTGTGCGTTTAATGTTATTCATGTTACTTTTCTAAACTTTTGTTTGATTAAAGTTGCGTGATTTTAATATGCACATACCTACATAATATCATTTTCGTTTTACCATTCTGTTACAGGATTTCCAGTGTAAATGTAAATATATGGGTTGTAAAAATATTACTGAGGAAGAAAAACTAGATTTATACACGGACTTTTATAAGAAAACTTACAATGAACAAAATTTTGTTTTGCAAGGCTGTATGGATGTGATGGAGCCTAAAAGAAGACGTGTTGCTGAAGAAGTTTCTACCAGACATTGTACAGTAGAATATTCACTAATAACTAAAAATGGACGGCTCAATGTATGTCAGAAATCTTTATGTAACGTGTTAAGTGTCACACGTCGGCGGTTACAGCTATTAGTAAATAAAATAAAATTCCATAAAATGATTGACGATCATCCTTCATCTA